CTTCTTGTTTTATTAAACCTCTTTTGTAAACAGTTTCATTTGTTACTTGAATCAACTGTTTAATTGAGGTCTGAAGAAGTTTTCTCTAAGACAGACCCTAAAGAAATAAGATGCCTTTTGTAGGGTTTTGTTTTCCCTAGAGATGTCCATTGAATGCAAACTCATAGCCATGTCTCCATGTGTAGAACACTACACAGTACCTTTAATTTGGTTCTAATAACAGCAGATTGTTTACTAGGTAGTCTACTAGTAATTACTTCAGTTTTTATTTTATTATGCTGATCATAAAGCAATGTTTACACTGTGTTATGTCATTGGCTGATCTTTAATAAATGTTTTAACCAGTGTGTCAGACTCATTTTGAATTGATATTAGGTTGGTACAACGTTAAGTAGCTTCTGATGTAGTTAAGCTACTTTTAACACATTAGTGTAACTTAGCTTGCTATAATTCTTTAGGTGGTAGCTTTGGTGTAGTGAAGCTTAACTGATAGCTTAGCTTACTACACTGGACAAGTAGCTTGCCCAACACTGGTAATGGGTTAGCTTCATCTGGATTGTGTTAAATAAATACTGATCAATTACTGATCAGTTAAGGCTGATTACATGTGATGATAATAGAAGATCCATCACTTCTCATGTTTAATATTCAAGCTTAGAAAAAACTAGATGATCATTGATCTTCTTCTATTTTAGGCTGGAATGATCCTTGATAACGGAGTGAAGACTACAGAGGCCAGTCTGAAGGACAAGAGACCCTTCCTGTCTGTGGTTGGAGCCAGGTTAGCTCCTCCACCGACCTCTGACCAGTAGGAGGTGCTGGCTTCATTTATGTCTGATGGAGCTGCTAGAGTTTCCTCTTCATCATCATCATGGTTTACATTCCAACATCGACTTAAAGATTTGCTTAAAAACGTCTTTCATACGTTTTTCTCAATTCATTCAGGGCATTTGCTAAAATTAAATAATATGGTTCAGTTTTTTTGCAGCTTCATTGATCAGATTCCTGTTCACTGCAAAAACAGATCCATGAATCAGCAAACATTTCATTAAAAAGGGGATTTTCATTAATCTGAGCAGATTATTACAGCGGTAGAAAATGAGAAGCATTCAAATAAGATTCTTCTTCTTTTCTTTTTCTTAATTTAACCATAAATCCTCATATTGCCAAATAGTCTCCTTCAGGCTCCTCCTCAATGATTGAATGATCTGCATCTGAAAGTGTTTATCCTGCTCTACGTATAAGAGGAATCTCTGCACCTCGGCTCACATCCCATCCAAACACCTCACCTTCTATTCTGCTGGCAGCAGCAGTGAGCACAGCCTTTAGTGGAAGCATCTAAACTGGGCCCACTTTACACCACAACACTGCCTTTGGCCTCCTGGGCCTGGAGCTCTCAGGTATTCTGAGTATGGCCTCTAAGGGGCTCTAAAGGGTTCCAGTCCAACCCTGGGTCTCTTTAGCAAGGCAGCAGTGTTGCCATCATTTCTGCTCTGTGGTCCAACTTCTGAAGGGAAGGGGTCATGTTCTGTCCATATAGGCTTCCCTGGTTCCTCCTTACAGCTGCAGCATCCGTCCAGCCCCAAACCATGACACTTCCACCTCCATGTCAGACTAACCAGAAACAATCCTCACCTGGTTTCTGCTATTAACACTCCACACCATCTGAACCAAAGATGTGGTCTGAAGCTGGTCTCATTGAAGGTTAGGTTCCAGTGGTCCATGTCTTCAGTCTGCTGGTCTGCAGGTGGTTGAAGGTTAAAAGCCTTATTTTTGGTCATCTTCAGGGGCGGCTTCCTGCTTAGATTAAAGCCATGTGGTCCGATTAGGAGCTGGCTGTAGCATCCGTCCTCCTTCAAACCCTTAGACTCTGATTCCTGAATGAAAGGCAGATCCAGGGATTCAATCCTCCTCCTCTTGGCTCCAGCTGAGAAGCTTCCTCTCAACCCAGCCATCATACTCCTGGGGGGTGGGGGAGGCTCCTTCATGTCAGCTCCAGTTCTCTACATGAGGGTTCCTCTCAGTATCTCAGCTGTCCCTAGAACTTAAAATTTCTGGGCTGACATCTCTGATGTTTCTCCAGGAATCTGTTGGAGCCACTTCTCCAATGTGGGCTTTACTGCCCCACTCCACTCTATTTCTAGGAGGCTGCTATTAAAGAGAATTGGTCCTAGCACCGATCCCTGTGGTACTCCACAGGTAACCTTTGAGCATGAGGAAGATTTGTCATTAACGTGAACAAACTGAAATCGATCAGAATGATAAGATTTAAACCAGTCTAGTGCTGTTCCTTTAATTCCAACAAAATATTCAAGTCTTTCTAAAAGAATATTCTGGTCAACTGTATCAAATGCAGCACTGAGATCCAACAGGACGAGCAGATACAAGTCCATTATCTGAGGGCATGACAATATCATTAGTGATTTTCACCAGAGCTGTTTCAGTGCTATGATAAG